TCGAATGAGAGAGAGGGAGATGAGTTGTATTGTGTTGTGTGGCAGTATGGAAGCTTAGGACTGAGGTAGGAAACTTAAGATGGCACCTGAGGATCAAACCATTCAGAGCTTCAAATGGCTTTGAGAAAACCAATCAAACCAGCATATGCTCTCTCATCATCTCGCTTTGATACTAATTTTTTAAATTTTTCACACATGCATGTTGTCATCATCGAAAATATCTTCTCATGGAGTTCACTGCTCTATTAATGTGCTTCCGTGTGGCTGCAATTAACTTAAACGCTGCATGTACACAAATGCACGTTTGCAAATCCTACTTTTAAATTTTGTTTATCTGACTCCTGATGTGATGCCTGATGGAATTAAACCTGCAACCTAAAAAGTAACGCATCACTGCAAAACCAGGGTGAAGCAAAAAAATGGTAATATTAAAAAAGCATGTTCAATCTGGCTATTGCTAAACTTTGTTGTTTTCTCTACCAATCTACTTTGTAAAAAAATAAAATAAAAAAATCTGGGATTACAAACTTTGCACTGGCTGCTTCCATGCAGACTGGGTTAGATTTATTAGAATGTCAAGTTAAAAGTTATGCAAAACTAGAAAAACTTTCAAATTTGCTTCTGAGGTGTTGTTGTGGTTAAATGCAATTTTTCAAAGTTTTGCTGACTTTATCATTATTAATATTATTATTATTATTATTTAAATCTGAAGTGTTTTTCTTTCAGTCCAATGCAAACCTAGTGAACAGGCCATGCTTTTTGTGCACATTTATGGTTTGACATTTCATTTGCTAACCGATGCCTTTGGAGTGAAATGATTTTCTGCAGTGCTTTAAATGATGAGCTGTAAATTTCTGAAAGTGCGTAATAACCCTTCCCATATTGATGGGCAGCAACAGTTGTTTGTCTAAGATCACTGCCGATGTCTATTCTTCTCGTCATTACATTAACACATGCATGAAAGCTGTGTGTAAATGTGTCTGAGAGTGTGTAGTTGGAGGTGAATGAGTTTGGGTTTGGGTTGACAACTCTAGAAATTACCATTGGAGTATCGCTGGATTACTTTCTACATTTTTGTCTTCCTCTCGTGGACTCATAAGACTTGGAAAACCACATTGGTGTAAAGTGTAACTATGGAGTATTGGAGAAGGGGTAGGATTAAATAAGTTTTACTTCTTCCTACCCCTTTTCAGACATGTTAAATGGGATTTATGTGTGTAGTATATGGGTGTGTGTACGTGGATAGGTGTGTGCACATTGGGATAACCTTTATTTTTTTTAATTTTGTGTGTGTTCAGTCAAAGCAGATGTATTTGCAGATGTGCATTTGTTTTGAAATGGTTTCTGTGTGTTCAAATGTGTGTGCATGTACCTATGTGTGTGTGTATATATATATAGGTACTGTATGTATGTATGTATGTATGGATGTGCAGATTCATATTGGTGTCGATACACCCTGTGCAGTGTGCAATGGTTTTGCCATATCTGGAATGAATCAATAAAATAAAAGCTGTAAATTACCAACCTGAAAAAAAGGCTAGTTTTATTAAGGTAGGTGCTCACATGCTTATGCAGGATGCTCTATATCTGTTCATATTTATCATGTAAATAGTAGCCTAAGCCAGAAAGCAATCAAAACAACAGAGGCAAAAAGATGATCATGTTTTGTTTTGCCTGATAAACTCGGATTTGACATTGTTTTTGTTTTATCATTCTTATTCTTTGCCATACTTTCTTTTAAAACTGTTCAACATATTGACATTTTGACCAGTTGAGGTCAGCATATCAGAATCATCAGTACTGAGGAGCCACAGCTGCTTCTGACTGTTCTCTTTAGTCTGTTTTACCGGAGTTTGTTTCCTGGGAGTTTCAGCTGCAACATCCCTTGCAGGGGCTGAGGAAATTCAACCCATCATTTTTCTTGATGGCTCAATTTTACTGAGCATTGAGTCCATCGTCACTGCAATGAGTCCTCTACCTCACAAAAGCAAAACAAACTCCAGCGCAATGTCAAGAAGGGCGAGCGGATCATGGGCTGAACTGTGCCTTCTCCTTAGGACACTTAACAAACGGCAGACAAATTGTTATTGGCAAAATAATAGGTGGTCCTTCTCACCCTGGGCTTCACCTCCTTTAGCCTCTTCCACTTAGTAAAATACTTACGTTCATCAAAGCTCACACAACACAGCATGCCAACATTTTCCCCAGAGCGGTGGCACTCATTAACAACTGTGAACTCTGCAACTTAAATAACATTGACTGACTGAATTGTATCACATAAGGCACTGATGCTTAACTAAGGCAAATACAGAGAATTCTTGCTGGTATACAACCCATATATTTTTCTATTGGACATTTTTTTTCAGATTTTTTTTTAATCACCCACTGCTGAAGGCAGTGAAGTGATAATGTTTTTGCCTGTGTGGTTTGTCTGTACATTAGTAAATATCTCATCAAATAAATGATGGATATTAATGAAACACACAAAGAGAATTTAGTGGGTTGACATTTACAAATAAATGCATCTACAAATAATCCAAATCAAGATGACTGTCACAGCCAGCTGAAATTAGAAAACACAAAAATGGCTGTAACATTGTCAGTTTTACAGATACTGACCTCAGTTTAGTTGTTAGTAGCTGACAGTCATTCACAACACAATTTCCAAGCACTAAGACATCATGTAAAGGTACTGGATGGTTTGTATGGTCAAGGTTTAACCCCCCCACCCCCACCCCACCCCCCAAAAAAATCTATATTTCCTCATTAAAAATTATCTTTGTTTAAAACTGTCATAAAATGTGGTGCACATTATGTTCCTTCGAAGAATCCTAGGTTTTTATTTATACTTAATATTTTTGTTTTCTTTCGGCTGTTCCTTCTTCAGGGGTCTCCACAGCGAACTAGCTCTCACGAAGACTTGGCGATTGTTTTTATGCCGGATGCCCTTCCAGACACAACCACAGACCACCGAGCTACCACAGCCCTCTGTGTGGAGCAGAGAGCTGCTATCTAGGACACCTGGGGGAGCAGATGGTGGGGTTTAAGGGCCTTGCCCTTAACAATGATGAGTCCAAATACATAGGTGAGGTGGAACATCTGGTGCAGAGACAATAATCTCTGCATCATTGTGAAGAAGACCAAGGAGATGATGGTAGATTTCAGAAGGAAAAAGGATCCTCTTCATCCCCTACACATCGGAGGAGCAGCTGTGGAGGTAGCCGTCTGCTACAGGTACCTGGGGTTGCATATATCCAGTGACCTCACCTGGACAGCCAACACTTACTGTCTGGTCAAGAAGGCCCACCAGCATCTCTAGTTTCTCAGGAAGCTGCAGAGAGCTGCACTTGGGAGCTCTGTCCTGAGGAGTTTCTATCGGTGTGTGGTGGAGAGCGTTCTCTGCACCTGCATCACCGTGTGGCACGGCAGCTGCACTGCTGCTGAGAGGATGGCTCTGCAGAGGGTGATTAAGTCTGCACAGAAGACTGTGGGGAGCAGCCTTCCCACCACCTCAGACTTTAAACTTCACAATGCAGGGGGAGGGTGCTCCGCATCATGAAGGACTCCACTCATCCTGCACACAGTCTGTTCCAGCCCCTCCCCTCAAGCAGGCGGCTGAGGAGCATTCAGAGCAAGACCACCAGGCTCAGAAACAGTTTAAGCTTCTTGATCTGGGACCTGAGTCTGAGTTTTATACCATAAACATGCAAATGTGAGCTGGTATGACAATAAAAAAATCCTTGCTCAAGATTTTGCTTTTGAAAACTTTAATTACTCTTTTTTTCTGAATGCAAATCGCTTTTCTTGGATGATTACTTCCTCTGGTATCAGATGCTGTGCTGCTGGCAGGATTTTTACTGAAACTTTTTTTAAATTTTGGACATTTGTTATGATGCGTAACCATAACAACAGGGTGGTTTTCTACAACTGGGAGCAGCTGATTAACGTCTCAAAAGCTCAAATCTCAACTACAGCCTCAAATCCCAAATGAGTTGAAAAAGAGGTGCTGTGGATGCATTCCCGTCTACCAGGAGGCAGTGCTTGAGTGCCTGACTGCAGAGATCTTTGGAGGTAGCGGGAAACGCAGCTTGTGACGGTGGGAGGAACAAGATCATCTCCTGGCACCTGCAGTTAAGTCTGTGGCAATAAAGGGTTTGACAGGCTGCTAGGAGAAATGGCCTTTGCTCAGGGAGAAGTTCTGCCCGACATTCAGGCAGTCCTGCTGCCCAAGAGGACCGAGAGGCCTGCTGGGTCTGGGTGGACAGATTGACATCTGTAGCCAGTTTCTTCGGACCCGCTGTGGGACAGACTACTACAAGAGATCCTTCCTGCCCAAAGACGTCAGCATCTAGAACAACTCTAATGAAACCAAGATGAGCTACAGCAACAATTAATTTCCCTTTGGGATTAATAAAGTATATTTGAATTTGAATTTGAAAGTGGAGCAAATGAGGGTGGAGAGACAGGTGCGGGTGCCTCCTCTATCCCACCCACATTTTGATATTGTTGGTACACTGAGTCGAACCGGTGACCTTCCGATCACCGGCCCACCATCTCTAGCTTCTACACCACCACTCCCCTTTAGTTATGCTTTGTATTAATGTTCTAAATATGTTTCATTTTCCATCTTGCATTTCTTGTATTCACTTTTGTCTGCACCAAAACAATAGCTTTGTATGTTTAACTTGATAAACTACAACGATTATGATCATGATTTCTAAAATTTGTTTAAAAATCACTCAACTGAGTTTAAGATTTTAGACCAGGAAGTTAGCAAAAACATAATGTTATTAGCTGTCTTTAATGGTATTGTAGTTTTAATAGTTTGACGCATTTTATATTTAAATATTCAGCTGAAGTTTGCAGCGGGTAACCGGGTTAACCGTTTGTTGAACATTGTGCTCATAGACTTCCTGCCATGGTGAATATATCCAATTTAGATTGTTTACTTCTTTATTGTTTCAGAAAAAACGCTCATTGTTTTTGTTCCGTCCTTTTAGGAGCTTCAATTTGAACGTCTGACTCGAGAACTCGAGGCCGAGCGTCATATTGTTGCCACCCAGCTGGAGAGATGCAAGCTGGGATCAGATGCAGGCAGCATGAGCAGCATCAGGTAACGTGAAAACGTGTTTGTGGAAGTGTCAGGCAACACAGTTTTTTGTGGCGGCTGGTACTTTGTACATCTGTGGTTGGAAAACAGTTGCTCGTGTGATTGACCTAAACCTGTGTGTATCAGTGAGTAAGCCACTCACACACTATTAGGTGAAATAATAGAAAAGTGCATTCATGGAAATGTGGACTTACAAATGTATTAACCTACACAAATATATACAATACAATATGCTTGTATTTGAGTTGTTTGCATATAATTGCTTAAACTTGAGTTATGATGGAAAAAGTCTGCTCTATTATTTACTACTTTCACTTTACACATATATACACTTGCATCCAAACTGAACAGGTTTTTTGCATTTGATGCATAGAGGATGTTATTGTTGAAGGACACTGTTTTACTACCGTGGTATACAGTTAACCGGATGGATTTGATGTTGCAAATATGATTACACACTCATGAAACGAACTAAATGATATTTCAGTAGATTACCAGTGAGACTGAGTTTTGCACACAGCCTATAAATAAATATGTGGAAAATTACAAACTATCATTCCTTCATTTGTTGCTGGCTGCCTTTCATGCCAAAGTTAAAAACAAAGGTCTCAAGTGATCTGTTAACACTAACTGATTATAGCTAGTACCCCTTGTATGCTTGGTTATGTAATTTCCTCTTCCACTTTGCAAGTAATTGATGACAAAGAATAAAATGTCTATAATTTAGAGATATTTTGAGATAAACTTAGGTGATGTTAAAAAAAACCCAGATATGTTGCTGTGTTCCTAATAAAAGAAATGTGTTTCTAAAGTCATCATGTAAGGTTTAAGTTCTAATTGGCACTAAGTATCGGCAAATACCCAAACTGAAGTACTTATATTTGTACGCGGTCAGACAAAAATAGTAATGGGACACCCTTTGAAGCCATTTTAAGTTTAAGGTTGATCAACTGTGGCAGCTCTTTTGAACTGGGTTGATTTCAACATTTAAAAGGACATCGAGGTAATAAATTCTCAGTTTCGTTCAAGTCCGTAGAGCGGCTTTTGAGCAATATTGATAAACAGATGATGTTAACTTTACATGCAAACTTAGTTAATGGCAAAGTTAAAATCATATATTTTACAATGTGGGGCACTTGGACTATAATTTGTGTTTTACTCTCTGCTACTACCCCACCAAATTATAACTCGGTGTCTGTTTTTGTGTTTGCTAAGGTTGGTTAGCTGTGGCGGTGGCCATCTTGAACTGGGTTGACTCCAAATGTTATTTGGTTGTAGAGGCACATCCAGTGATTACTTTGTTAGTTTTAATAAAAGGTGTCCAGTGGGTCTTTATATATTTTGCTAACAAGAAAGAAAATCAAACCCAATGTAGAATCTTACTCTTGTCCACTTTAACAGTTGCTGTGGGTTTTTTGTCACATACCAGAGGGGCACCTGGGCCCTAAGCACCTTCATTGAAGGCTGATGATTTCTTGGAATGTTCCTTTTAAATATCTAATTTATTTTATATAAAATATAAACATTTTCAATATAGTTTTTCATTTTTTTCATAGGATTACATCCTAACAAAAGGTCTAGCTTGAACAGTCGGGGTTCACCACTGTCACGTGAGCATGGACACAACCACGGGTGATTAAAATTGAAACCCGTTATAGTGTTTGCCTTTTATATTATATGTAAAAGAACACAAAGTTTTTTGAAAACACATTTTGTACTCCCTCTGTCAAATTATAAAATTAATGAACGTATTAGCCACAGTCTTAGAGCCCTTTGAAATATCACTCCAATTATATGTCTGACCTTTGCACTGCCAAAATTACTTTTATCTAAAGTAAAGAGCTCTGTTTGGTGCAGAGAACGAGGGAACATGAATGACTTGGGGATGTTATGGAGGAAAGAAAATGTATTTTAGTATTATGCTGATTTATTTGTTGCCAGCAGCTCAAACGTTAAGGCCAGTTTGTCCCCTCTTCTATGAGTTATCTGTTAAATATTCTTACAAGCTTCGCTTCCCTGGAAAAAAAACACACCAACTCCTGAGTAGAAGTAAAGTTTGGTGGAAAGTTGTGATAAATTATTCACTTGTCTCGGGTTGTGGATGTACGTATTCCTGTTTGCGGGCATGTTTTTTTGTGTTTGGTGATTTTGCTGTCATGTCAAAGAGTCTGATTCATAGAAATCCAGCATGCTCCTGACTCCCTCAGGCAGCTTGTTGTATAAGTACACAAACCTGAGGGAAGTACAGAAACTATGTTCACCGGAAAACACAAACAAACAAAAAAACTTTTAAACTTTCCTCACTCACTTTGTTTACTCGGTTCCAACTGGGTCTTACAATATATATATATATACGTATGTGTTTGATTTATTTGCTTAAATTCCATCATTTGTTAATATACCTGAATACCAAATTCAACTGTGGGGGAAAAAAAAAAAGAGGGTGATTTTAGGTTTTACAACATGGTGAGCTAATACAAATACAGTTAAGGCATTTCCAAGAGTCTTGCTTACTGCTTTATCTTAATAATAATAACAAAAAATCGATAAAATATTACAGAAAAACATAAAACCATACCATACAATGACTAATACAATTAGTTAACGTGGCGTTAACCTAATACGACAGCTAAAATACTTTAATCAACACATAAATGTCCATAGCTCAATAATTTCTGCAGATATTGAGCTAAAATTTGGTGTGATAGTAGCCGACACCTTTCCTCAACACATACTCTGAGTACTAACACAGCTCACGAGACTTCACCGTATATCATGAGATTTACAGGGTTTCATTGAAATATCTATAATTCATTCTTTTCTCATTATAGTATGAAAGGTTGTGGGTGACATGCATTCCTTCAAGGAAAGGTACTGTATTTTTTTATGTATAAGTTGCACCTTTTTGCATAAAATTGCAAGTCCTGCGACTTATACACCAAAGCGACTAATATGTGTTTTCCCCATATTTATAATACAATGTTTGTCTGAGATCTGACGATGTCATTCACTCCGAGATGGAAAATATTGAACACTACCATTTTCAACCGCTAGAGGGCACTCAACTCATATGGCAAGCCAAGTGTCTCATTAATAGGTAAAAGTGGCTATTAATGAGCCACTTGGATTGCCATACAGGCCAATGGAACTCCTGGAGTAAATATCAAATCAGCTGCATTTCGCCCCGCAGAGGTAAAATGCATCTGATTTGACTGTCAAAGTGCATTTATTAAGGAAAAGTTCAACTAAGACACACCTTTGCTATAATTTCGGCAAACATATAATTGTTTTTAAGTGTTAATCTCGTTAAATTTTTGTTAAAGCTCCCGCGGCCGCCATTTGGCAGCCAATTGATTTTTGGCACAACACCGGCCCACATTTCCGGGTGGTCAGCGGTGACGCAAAGCAAAGGTGACGCGTCAGCGGTGACGCATAATAGATGCGACTTATGCGGCGAAGCGACGCGTTTGTGTTTTTCCACTTTATTAGACATATTTGGACTGATGCGATGTGTACGGCGGAAAGTACGGTACAGCAGTTTTTGAGAACAGGTTATGCTTTAAAGGTCTTATATTAACATTTCTAATACAAATGCATTCAGGTTTGATAAAAACATCTGCACTGATGACTTACATTTCTCAAACATGGAACTATCTCCCCCCTGCTAAATCTTTTGTGTCATGTTAGAATTTTTATACACACTGTCTGCTCTTTTACACGCGCTAACACAAGCATAACATGGCTTGGATCCAAAGTCGTCATTTTTTTATTACCTCATTATTGTAAGTCAATAAAATAGGGTTGTGACGATGCTTAACTGTACACAGTCTCTGAATGAGAACGAGCTCATTTACTGGCTTAGAACTTCCTGTTGTTTTAACTGTTATGACATCTAAAACCTTTGCCTGCAAACTTGGAAAAAAATGTAAGGGGGATGTTCCACCTGGAGCACATTAGCAATGCACTAGTTGTTGTCTGACAGTTATAACAGGATTGCAGGGTGTGCTATTTATGTTGTATGATGTGTTACCCTACACTACACAATTTAATTGGCTTCCCTGCGTGGCCGGGTCCTGCATCATCTCTGCTCACACCACAGGGGTGAACTGCCCGGCCGTGATGTAGAGCTAGCACTGAACTTCAGCGGGCTCCCATTTCACAGATAAAGTATGACTGAATGAATGTTATTTAAATATAAATCTGGATAATCAGAGACTTCAACACCATTCAAGGAGATAAGCTTTTCCTTTTGTCTCCAGTGGTAACCCTTTGGATCTCAGTGAGTTGGCGCTAATTGCTTTAGTGTTGTGTCCTTCGTTCTTTTTTTCTTGCATCCTGTTGGATTGTTCTTTTTGTTTAACATTATGCTAATCTCTAGGGTCCAAGTTTATTAATCCCACTAGCCCGGTGACAGTTATTTACTGTCAAAGTGTTTCAGGTTTTCAGTTGTTACCAGATTTTCCTCTGTTCATTTTCTGTCCGAAGGACGTCGTGCTACGTCCTACCTCAAGTTTGGATTTGTGCCGCTTGCTTGTCCCATCTTATTTTTCTTTCAAATAAAGGTTGATTTTTATGTATTCATTTAAATGTACCTTACCCAGTTCATGGTAAATATTTGGCTGCTTTTGGTTTCATCAATCCATTAAACAAAGCTTATGGCAAAGGATTAAAATACTATAAATAATGAGAAAATTATTTCTTAGACAAATGACTGAGGTCCAGGAACGAAATTGAAGTAAAGCCAGTTTATTACCCTGTAGATGTAAATGCACCAATAAATGGGTTTTTACATACTTGAGCCTTTGTAGGTCATTGTTTTACATGCTTGGAGCAGGTTGTGCGTTTGTTTTTGCATGCCTGTGCGCGTGTATTCTTGGCAGCTGCTTGACCCCACGTACCCTTTGTTGGGTTTCCCTCAATAAAAAAAAAGCAGGCATCTCCACGGACTCCTCAGACCTGAGGACTCGACACAAAAATCTCTGACTGTTGTGCAGAAACCCAAG